GGTCACTGAGCTCCTAGGTAAACAGAGGGACGCTCAACATTACAGAGCCATGACTGCGGGCCCTCTGCCCTCTGCCTAGGTCCACTTTCCCCCAATCCCTTTAACCAACTGAACTCTTCCGCACATGCCCTTCTCCCAGCTGGAAACAAGAAGCCCACTGAGCACCTTGCCCACTGCCCCCACATGCCATGGGCTCCCACAGGAGGTGTTTCTGGTCCTGAGCAATCTCTTCTTTCTAGCAAAGCCATCCTCCTCTTTAACCACAAGATAGTGCAAGGGACTCCTTCCCTTTCAGCTCCCCTCAAGGCTACAGTCACCTGACTCTTCATTAGAGTTCTGAGAGGGACAAGGCACACAGTCCCGAAAGTACTTCCGCTTAAGCCTGTTTGATAATGGTTAATACGTTAACTTTCTCACATATATGCCTGATCAATCCAAAACGGAGAATCCCGTGTGTGTGTGTGTGTGTGTGTGTGTGTGTGTGTGTGTGTGTGTTTACTGAGCTCTCCCCATTCCTCTTTCTACTTTTTCTTTTTCTTTTTTTTTTAAAGAGGTTTTAGCATATATTTTTTGCTATGCAGTGTGTGTCGGTCTGTGCATGTGAGTCCAGGTGCCCACAGAAACCAGAAGGTCAGGTTCCCTGAAGCTAGAGTCACAGGTGGTTGTGAGTCACCCACCATGGGTGCTGGGAGCTGAACTACAGTCCTCCCCTAGAGCTGCAAGCATTCTTGCTTGTCACCTCTCCAGCCCCTTCCTTCTGGGGAGGGTGTCTGTTCGGATTATTTTTGTTTTAGGGGCGTTGTTTGGTTGGGTTTTTTGGGTTTTGGTTTTGAGACAAGTTCTCACTATACAGCTCGGTCTGACCTTGAAGTCACTCTGTAGCCACCAGTCTGGCCTTGAATTTCCTGCCCCAGCTCTGGTGCTGTGCCCCCAAACCTCTTTAAACTCTCGGTCATTTTGAATGAGGGACTTTGTGTGCTCCCGTTGGCACTGGCCTCCAGACGACGCGGGATGCACTGGCTGAGACTGTCCCACTGCTCCAAAGCACCTGAGCGAGAAGATAGCACTGCTGTCCCTGTTCTTAGCACTGCTGAGATGGGGAGCTGTGCCCCCCCCCGTCCCACTGCATGCTGTGTCCTCTAGACGGAGGGTGCACTTAGTGAACACCAAGGTGCACGTGGGGGTGGCACACGTGTCAGCCTCTATTCAGCCACTGCAGAGTGGTCACACTTAGAAGAGGAATCTATGGGCTCACTGGATTGAGAAGATTAAGAAGTGAATAAGCTGGGTTTGATCCTGGACTCTTGGCTGCTTCCCAATGTGACTCTTCTCAGGCACTGTCTCCTCCAAAGCCTCCGAAGCCCCAGGCTGACATGCAGCCAGCTTAATTTTTACAAGACAAAACGCCAAGTGCCCACCAGGGCCAGCTTCACTCCGTGGTGGCCATCTCTGTACTGACCATTAAGACAGAGGCTGTGGTAGTTCCATTGGCCAGACCTCAGTCACAAGGCTACCCCTAGACCCGTCAGTCACAGGCAGTTTGGCTGCCATTACTGACTGACTGTGCTGGATGTGCAAACTACCAGGGTCAGGTAGGACAGCTAGAGCAGGGAGCAGAATGGACAAACTGATACAGCGCATATGTCTGGAGCAGGGAGCCAAAAAACAGACACAGTGCAGAGACCAGACTGCAATGTGGTGTTTAAAAACAAAACAAGACAGGAGGAACTGAAGATGCCCACGAGTAGATCACTTGTTTAGCATAGACAAGGCCTGGCTTCCATCCCCAGCACTGCAAACATAAATAAAATAAGAAAGGAGAAGTAAAGAGAGCAGAACAGGTCTAGAGCACACAGTCCTGAGAAGTCAAAAGAGGACATACTTGGGCAGGCTACATGGATGCCTTCCCAAGAAAGTGAAAGAGGGAAAGGAGCCGGAATTACAAAGAGTGTAGAAGCAGCCCTCCAGAGTCTGGGAGCAGCTTATAAAAAAGGCTTGCCCTGTTGTCAAGGGAGGGTTGTTCAAAAGACTAGGATTAGACAGAGAAAGTCTAATCACGGATGATAAGTCAAGTAGATTATGAAATAAGATGCTGATGGGGAGCCAGGCCTGTAACCAGGACACGTAGAGATTTGTGGGCTGCGGAAGAGATGGAGCTTGGCCTGAGTAAGACGGGAGGACCTAGAAGGGAGTGACCAGGCAGGGATGTGGTCTTCTCTGATGGATGTTTCCAGGCCACTCTGACTGTGGTGGACAGAGTGCATGGACAGCAGGACAGGATACATCCCCTTATAATGGTGTGGTGGCTCTTAGCAAGCCAACGTCAAGGGTAGACAGAGACAGGTACAATTCCATCCTGATGGGGCATCAGGGACAGCGTTAGGGAGGGAAAAGTTGGACCGATAAGCCAGAAGCAGCCTTCACTTCCCCCTCAAAGATTTTTCTTCCTGAGACGTGGGAAGATTTGGTTTTCCCTTCTCTTCTTCCTTTTATAATTAATTTAAATTTTTTGTGCATTGGTGTGAAGTTCCCCTGGAAATGGAGTTATAGACAGCTGTGAGCTGCTGAGTAGGTGCTGGGAATTGAACCCACGTAGCCCAGGCTGGCTTTGAAGTTTTGATTCTCTAGTCTCAAGTGCTGGAATTGTGCGTATGGGCCACTGCACCTAGCTATTGTCATTGTTTTTAATAATCAGGAGTATTCTAAAATAAATGAAGAAGGTTCTTGGCTCCTCCCCATCTTTCCTTGAGTTTATGAGTAAATTGAGCTCATCTGAGATTGTCTGCCCTTCAGAGCTCCCCTGTGGGTGTCTAGTTGCTCTGAATTTACAGAAAGACTCTCCACGTCTTGCCCGAGAAATAGAGTCAGGAGTGACTAATGCTCTAGAATGTTACTTCTCTAACTTTAACACCTAAGCGTGCATTGCTAGGAGATCTTGTTGAAAACGTGATTCCAGTTCCATAGCTCTGAAGAGGGCCCTGCTATTACCCAGCTCTCAGGACATGCAGATTGACCTGTCCCTGGCGTTAGACCTGTCTGTAGAAGCCAGACTCTAGAATATTCCACAAAGGAACATTATAGATATACTGCCTAGGCAGGAAGAGGAGAATCACTACCAAACTCTAGTGTGGAAAAGCAATTAGAAGGGCTGGAGAGATGGCTCAGAGGTTAAGAGAACTGACTGCTGTTCCAGAGATCCTGAGTTCAATTCCCAGCAACCACATGATGGCTCACACCCATCTGTAATGAGACCTGGTGCTCAGAATACTATATACTATATACAAATAAATAAATTTAAAAAAAACAATTAGAAAGTCTCTGGAATGACATATTCCAAAATAATACAGAAAGTGATGATGAGGTTCTGAGCAATTTAAGTTTTCTTCTTCTTTCTTGTCTGCATTTTCAAATCTATAAGGAGCGTGCACTGCTTAGGATGAAGCTGAAATCTGTTCCAGCTTGATCAAAATTGTCCCCAGCTCATGTTTTGAATGGATGTTCCTCAGCTGACAGAACTACTCTGGGAGGGTGTGGAGACCTTTAGGAGGTGAGATGGCTGCAGAGGTGGCCACTGGAGGTGGGGCTTTGAAGGCTCCTGTCTTGAGCTCACTCTCACTCTCTCTGTCTCTGTCTTTCTCTCCTCTTGAGCACTCTCTCTCAATCTCTCCCTCCCTCCCTCCCTACTTCCCTTTCTCTTTCTGCTGTACAGTGAACAACCTCCATCACAGGCTCCCACGCCATGCCTTCCCCACTATGATGGAACAAACCCCGTGAAACCATGAGATAAAATAACTCCCCACTTTAGCCCTCTTTTCCAGATAGTGTGGTCCAGTAATGTGAAAGTCACCAATACAAAATCTAAATGAGGGAGCTCGAGAGATGGCTCAGTGGTTAAAAGCATTGCCTGCTCTTCCAAAGGTCCTGAGTTCAATTCCCGGCAACCACATGGTGGCTCATCTGTAATGAGGTGCCTTCTTCTGGCCTGCAGAATATTGTATACATAATAAATAAGTAAATAAACAAACAAACAAAATCTAAATTACTAAATCAAGAAAAACAATCTAAAATACACACAATTTTTCTTTCTGAGACGGGGTTACATGCAGTCCAAGCAATCCTCAATCTTGCTGTGTAGCCAAGGATGAACTTAAACTCCATACTGTTGAAGTTTTGTCATTCTACACAATGAAGTCCATCCTGGACACTCTAGCTTTAAAGCCCTCAGATCCTGCTCCTGTTTCTCTTTCCCAGAACTCCACTCACCCAGCCTCCTGCTTCAGTGCCCTGGCATACATGATTCTGCTAGCTTGAACCAACCCTGGAGACTCTTAGGTGGCTTCTCATCTTCCTGAAGCCTGGTCTTGCATTCTGAGTTCTCTTCCTGCTCCTAACTGGTCTTCCTCAGTCTCCCTGGATGACCCTATTGCCCCTTCTCCTCTGCTCACTCCCCTCTCTTTTCCTGAAGTCTCATCCCCTCCTAAGGTCCTGAATTATTTCTATGCTAGCCTGTTTGCCTAACTGGCCTCTCTGCCAAGCATTGCTTCTAGAATCATTCCTTACCCCCATCAAATGCCCCGTCCTAAATGACTCAATTATCCCATCACGCCAGTCCATATTTCCCACTGACTCCCCTTCAGGACTGCACCAGTGGTGTGGGAGAATTGTCTGTATTCTGTCCATCATGTTTTAAATAAACACTGTTTGGCCAGGCAGGAAGTATAGGTGGGTCTACCAGACAGGAAGTAGAGGCGAGACGATGAGAACAGGAGTATTCTGGGAAGCAGGAAGCTCCCTTGGCAGTTCTGTCCAGATCATCGAAGAAGCAAGATGTGAGTTGCCCCGCTGAGAAAGGTACCGAGCCATGTGGCTAACACAGATAAGAATAATGGGTTAATATAAGCTACAAGAGCTAATAAGTAGGCTGAGCTAATGGGCCAACCCGTTTTATAACTTATGGAGATCTCTGTGTGATTTTCTTTGGGGCTTGTCGGCTGTGGGGAACTGAGCAGGACATAAACCCCAACAAGCAGGCCCCTTCATGTTACACACCAGCAACCTGGGTCCCTCTGCCACATCTCCAAAGCACCATTTCTTACATTGTGAAGCTGGACATGCGTCCCCTTCCCCCACTTGTTTCCTTACAAAGCCCCATACCTGAGCCGTGCCTCCCAAGGCTCTCCCAGCCCAGGCTGACCTCTTCCACTGACCTCCTCACACTCTTGCCCCAAGCCTGGCCTCTTTTCTCCCTTGCATGTGTCCACCAAGGGGCCCTCTGCTGTTTCCTGGGTGGATTCACCACGTGCCTGACTTTGCAGAAGGATGTAGCCAGTAACTGAGAGTGTTGGCTGCTAAAGGGCCCATAGCCACTACTTTCTCTGGAGAATCATCCTGAGACAACCGAGTGAATTCCATGGCAGATGACCCTGGGCCAAACTCACTGTCTGTCTGGGGCTGTGAAAAATCAATCCTGTCCCTTGAAGTGCGGGTATCCAAGGTGAAGTTTATTCTCTGCGTACCACCACTGTGCCACCTTGGGACCTAGCTAAGCTGAACCCATCTCACTTCACTTTAACCTGTTTCTCTCCCTCTGCTTTGACTTTCTCCTGGTCCTTCGTTGCCTCTAGGGCACTCCCTTCTAAGCTTCTAATCCTCTTTATGTAAAGGACAGCTTCCTCAGGAGACCTTGCCAGACCCTAGGCTGGGACAGTCTGATCCTAACTGCTCTGTGTTCTACGTAAGAATCAGAACATCTGCAGCTCACTGGTGATCAGTGTCATCACTCATGAGGCACAGGTGGCCCTCACGGGTTTGCAAACTCCATGAAGCCAAAGGCATTCTAGTTCTCCCAGCATCCTCCTAGCTCCTAGGGGTGCTTGACACTTAGGAGATAGGCAGTAAACACTAGGTGGGAGTGCACAGGGAGGAAGAGAGGGAAGTCCTTGCTTTGCCTTTCGTATTGGGTCCAGGGCTCCATGTTTATCTCTATTTTGGCAGGCACTGAGGCTGGCTGTGGCCTTCGGGTTGGCAGGCAGAAGCATTTGTGCACAGGCTCATGGCACAACTCCACCCCCAAGCAGCCTGTGTAAAACCACACAGTAGAGGTGGCGCAGGATCCCCATGTACACTGCTGCTTTCTCTCTGCTCACTAGGAAGCAGGAGGCTTGGCTGCTCCACCGGTGACTGAAAACCCTGGCAGCTGCACAGCCAACTGCATGTCACCCTATGTCACCTCAGCATTTCCAAAGAGCTGCCCACTAACTGGCCTCAGCCGCCAAGTCCCAGGTTCTCTCCCAGCAGAGATGGCAGGCTAGCACCAAGAAGACCCTGACATACCTATCCTGTCAAATGGGACACCTATTTAGTTATTTCCTGGGCTCTGGAAAATGCTCTCTTTCTCGCTCTCTGGGAGATAGGACTCCTTCACAAAAGTATGCCGAAGAACAGGCCTTCCCCACCCATCCTGCCCCCTCACGTCTGGAAAGGGTCAAGGACGCTCACTTCTCTTTTGGCCCACTCTCATGCTGATCCCGCACAAGTGTGTCACCTCAGATGAACAAACGGAGGTCAGACCGAGGAGAGGAGACACAGCTAGAAACAGGAACTCCCAAGCTATGGAGCTCCTCACCTGCCTTCCTGCCACAAGAGCAAGTTTTAAGAAGCAAGGCAGAGGTGAGGACGGGTGGGGGGGGGCATGTAGCGCAGAGCATTGGGTCCTGCTGTACAGGAAAACTTAGGAGGGCTCCATAGGATCTCCCAGAACCAGGCCAAGGGGTTCAGTCTCAGCTACAGGAGACAGAGGCCACAGTCTACTTCAGGATTCGTGGCCAGGACAGGAGATGTGGCCTGAAGGGTACCCTCTCTCCATGGGAGTACCACAGCTGAAGCCCTCAGACTACTGCCCAACAACTCTTCCCCAAGGGGCAGGGCACAGGGTGGAGGCTGAGCTGGACAGATTTTTCTGGGAATGCCACGCCCCCCAGTGGCCACCTGCGCAGTACCTCTCCCCTTCCCAGGCTCCCTTACTAAGATACTCACATCCTGTTCCCCCAGAAAAGACCCCAGGCAAGGGAGGAGGAAAGGGTTCATAACCACAGCATGGGGAGGCTCATTCGCTCATTCATTTATTCAACAAAGATGGCCTGTTTCCTGCCCAGTTCTGCAGAAGGTCCAGGGTCCTTGTCCTGAAGGTTCCCATCCTCAGGATGTTGAAAGCCTAAGGGAGCAGAGACAGTGTGCCAGAGGCAGGTGAGGAGGGGAGGCCAGCATGGAGGAGCTGAGATGATGTGGGTGGGGTGGGGTGGGGTGGGAGACAATGGCACAGAAGCAAGAGCAGAGGCCAGCATGAAGGGGCTGAGATGACTGGAGGTGGGGGGTGGGTGAGGGAGACAACGGAATAGTTCAGGCCCTAAGAGCTCAGATGCGGTCTGTCCAAGACTATGAGTGGGCTGTTGGCCAGGGCTGAGGTCTTATCTGTATGTTCCAAGCAGGAAAATTCAGTTTGACAAAAAACACAAATGTTATGTGCCAGGTACAAGGGTGGAGTCAGGAATTCAAAAATGGATGCCTCGGGGTTCTTGTTTTGTAGAAATTTCTGTGAGCAGAGATTTCTGCTTCGTGCTCTTATTTTCCCTTCTGTGAACCTTCTACAGCTGGGGAGGATCATTCTCAAACGGAGAAGCTACTAACCCTGCAGTACAAATGAGGCCAGCGGCTCCTCTTCCTCCGTCATAGGGGAGGGGAAGAGGAAAGGGAGGAAGAGAGACCTCTAAGAAGTCCTAGGAGAGTGGTGGTTGATTAGCTGTGCGTGCTCCCAGAGAATGGAACCATCCCTACCCATCCCTACCCATCCCTACCCATTCCTACCCATCCCTACCCATCCCTACTCTCAGAAAGCATGCAGAACACAGGGCAGGCAGGAAAGCCCAATCCAGCCTGGAGGAAGAGGCATACCACAGGCATCACAAAGAAAGAACTGTGCCCAACTCAGGAGCTGCCCTGAGCTCTCTTCACAGGGTCCTGAGGGCTTGATTTCACTGTAGCAGAATCCCCTCGGCCACACAACGCCCAGTTTTCCAACCTGTGACTTCAACTTCAGAGATTCCAAAGATGCTGTGGTTATAAAGTACCAGACTCAAACCTGGCTTTTTGTGACAATGTAGCTGCCTTCACTAGGGCTCCGAGCATTGACTTCAGCATTGACTTCACTAGAGCTCGGAGCATCTTCTTCCCTGGCTCAGTCCCAGACCCTCTTCCTCTTGGCAACAAGACTGGACGTAGTACCAAGATTGGATCAGTCTCCTGTTCCCTGACCTATAAACCAAGTCTCAAGTGAGCCAACCAGAGTCCTTCCCTGGGATTTTTTTTCTGGGTGAATCTATAATCACTTCCCCAACTGCTAGGACATACCAAGATCGTAGAGACAGTTGGTGACCATGTTTCCAACTATACGTGGTAGGGGTGGGTGGAAGCTCGAGAAGGTGGGGACAATAGCACCAAATTCTTGTCACCCTCCCCTTTCAGATAATAAATGCCCTTTTTATGGAAATAATTCGAATTGGGTTTTCTATCACTTTCCAACAAAAGTTCCTAAAATATCAGCCCATCCTCTCCCCACTGGAATTCAAGATCAAGCTACAGGGCTGGGGGACATCAGTAGTAAAGCATTTACGTGAAATGCACAAAGCTGGCTTCCGTCCCTAGTATACCATGTGCAGAGATAAATATACAAAACTTCCTGAAGGAGGCCATCTAGGAATCCAACTTGGGGTCTTTTTTTAAATTTATGTGTGGATGGCCGTGTGTATACATGCATATACACTGGATGCATAGAGGTGCTCAAAAGAGCCAAAAAGGAGCATTGGGCCCCTGAAACTAGAATTGCAGTGTGAGTTGCTGACTGTGGGTACTGGGAACTGAACTCAGGTCTTCTACAAGAGCAGCAAGTGCTCTTAATTCTATCTCTGCAATTCTAGGTGCAGATTCTTAATACAGTAGAAATGATTGCTATCGGATTCCTCCTTGAAGAGAAAATAAAATTATAAGATTATTTTACAGAACACATAGGGCAGTATAAGGTTAAAAGCGCAGTAGAGACATCTTTCACTGTGTATACTAATGAAAAGGACCGTGACTCCAATTCAGACCTGGATTTGAAACTGTATCTGGCCCCTACCTGCCTCTCTGGGCATCCATTTCCTTGTCTATAAAACGGGAATACAAAGATTACCTGCCCTTCTCAATGTATGAAGTTGTCTCTCTCTCTCACACACACACACACACCACTGACACAGCTTGGTGACCCTTGAACATGCAACCTCAAGTGCTATTTTTAGATAACATCTCACCACGTAGCCCTGGCTAGCCCGGAAGTCAGTTCGTCCTCCTGCCTTAACCTGAGTGCTGGGATTACAGTCATGCACCACCATGCCCAGCACAAGCAGATCTTAACATGGCATACCTGGGTGAATGCCAGTGGACAAAACTGTCAGTGAGCCACTGTCCCAGAGGGCTGGGCATCCAGAGATAAGAGAACAGGAAGGGCATTGATAAGGTGAGATGCAAACAAGGGCTTCAAAGCCAGTCTGGGCCTCCCTAGGGAGTCAATAGCTACAACTTCACCACCTGATGTTCTAGCTAATTTCTAGATTTTTATCTGTCTTATCTTTCCAGTTACTTTAGCATGTAAATTATGTTTTAAACAACAGAGATCAGCATGAACCTAAAAGAATCAACCGCCATTGGGTCCTGTCACCCAAGATAATCAAATTAAGCAGTGCTATGTGTTTCCAGCCTTTGACTCCGGATGACACCTTCATCTCAGGTCTTACTTTTAAAAGCCCTGCTCCACACTTGGTGGATTTAATCAACTTAGATGCTTTACCATATCACCAATAAGGCTTTGTTTTCTTTCTTTCTTTCTTGTTTGCTTCTTTCTATATTCATTTACTTGTGTAGGGGACGTGTGTGGAAGTGCACTACCATGGTACATTAGAAGTGTCAAAGGACAACCTTTCAGGAGTCGATTCTCCTTCCACCGTGTGGGTCCTGAAAATCAAACGAAGATAGTGGGGCTTGGCAAAGTGTTCTTGTGTTTTCCAGATCCAGTACAGATTCTTGTGTTTCCAGTACAGATTCCAGTACAGATTCCAGTACAGATTCTTGTGTTTTCCAGATCCAGTACAGATTCGGAGTTCAATAATATT